TAATGAGACGTCACGACGAAGAGGGCGATAGAGAGATGGGAAGGGGAAAATCCCGAAGGCATTTGCGGCAGCCTCGCAATTAAGAGGCTTGGAACAAAAGGCTCCCGACACGTCCTTTTGCGAGACGTTCCGTGCCGCTGTGCTCGCGTGCCACGCGGAGTCCCAAGACGCGGCAGCCAGGGGCTCACGCAAGGCGGCGCTATATACTAAAGCGGCAGGTGAAAGCCGTCCACGACGCTATAGGAGCTAGACTCGCGTGCGACTTCCATTCGGCCTCGCGCCACAACATTCGCTAGTAACGTGCACCGCTGCGAAGGCTGCAAGCAAGCATTTGGTTCTCCGCGAAACAAACAGGATGTATAGAAGTCATTGAAGTTGGCACAGCAGGAGAACGTGTAGGAGTCGTGTCGACCAGTACAGCGTCAAGCGTACACGACGTATAGGAGTCGTTAAAAATTGGTACCGCAAAGCTTATACACGACGTATAGAAATCACGGGCAGTGGCACAACGTGACGCAGACAGGACGTGTAGCTATAGGAGTGATGGCAAGGGATGTTGCACCAAGCATATATGACTTATACAGGAGTCGGGGCGATCGGTACAGCACCAAACACACAGAACGTCGTGTAGGCTTCATGTCCGACTTGTACAGCGCGAAGTATACACGACGTGTATAGGAGTCAAGTGGTACAGTCCGATGCGGAGAGAACGCACGGTGTGTAATGGTGATCGGTACGGCATCACGTATACACGGTGTGTCTACATGAGTCATGGTGAGTGCATGATACAGCGCAAGAAATTCAGGACGTGTAGGTGTCATGGCAAGCAGTGCAACCATCAACTAGCCTAAGCAGGATAAACTGGCTCGGCTTTCCGCTTTAGGTGTCGGCAAGGGGTGCAAAAGAGGCACTCCCCCTCCATCCTTTGTAAAACCACACCAGCACTTGCCCCCAATTCGAGCTACGTCAACCCTCCCTCCTCAAAACATAATCCTTCCGATGCTTTCAACCCTTTCAGATTACGAGGATGGTTGATTAGACGATATCGATTGATTTGATATGGGGGGTTTAACGTCCCAAAACCACCATATGAATTGATTAGACGATAAGTTCTAATGCTTAATACGGTGAGTTTCATATGGAAGCAAAGATAACGATTTTATGAAGCTAGAGAAGTTATTGAGTGATAAGAAAAGTAAACAAAGACAGGGCAATAAGTTTGCAGATAAAACCTTCGTACAGAATTCGAGGTATACAGAAAGCTACCGATATAACCTAAAACTTTGCCTACGCATTCGCTGTATACGGAGAAAGTGGTGAAACATACTTGCTATTCCCAAACGTTATAGTGAAATTAACGAATAAATGTTATTTAGGATGCCTTCAGCCACTAAAACGCTGACTGTTTTAATTTTTTTTTGTTCAGATGTCCAACTTTTGTTTGCTTTTGTTTGGGAACTTTATAGAGTGTGGCTTTCGGGCTTGTTCTGTTGCTGAAACTGGTTCGTATGTTGATGTAAGCTAATTTTGATGAGCTGCAAATTTACAGATATAACAAAAAAAAGAAAGGTCGCATGGCGCATGAAATTGTCGGGACATGTATGTATATACGACCTCCTTCCTTGCACTGTGCGCTGTCGGCAAGTTCGCAGGCTGTATGCTATACATAACGTTTTTATACTACGAATATTGGGTTTCGTTCAGACGAACAGTTGCGCCTTTTTACCGCTCTTGATTCGACATGCGTGCTGTGTGCTTGACAGGGAGCTGTAATAAATAATCTCCCTTGGGCTACATGTCATGTTGGAAATTAAGACAAATTCTTTGTCGTTTTTTTAATAGAGAAATGTGGTATTAAGAAATCATTGAAACGTGACAGCACGAACACATCATCACTAAGCTATGAAACTTCAGCATCTGTGTAATCGATGTGCTGTTGGTATTTATACAGCCCGCGGATCAGTAATGACGCTGCAGCTATTCCACTTAAATTGTGCACAAAAGGAAATTTTAGCAAAACTCAGATCACCAAGGTTGACTTACATAGGTTGAATTTTTTTTCTGTTGTGGACAGTAATCATACTGTTAGGAGATATGGCTAGTCAATGTATCACAGCCCTAAAAAAATACTTGTCTAAGGGCAAAAACTATCGTCTAAGGGCAAAAAAAGAAATAAAAACAAAATGCAAGAGAAACAGCTCACATGGTAAAATTGTTTGTAAAGCAAAGTGTTAGCTAACTCTGATGCTGCGCAGATCATTAGAGAAGACGGCCAGCCAATCGAGAAAAGCGCTTAATAAGCATCCGACTTCCGTTAAAAGCAGTTGCATTAAGAAATTGTGCGACAAATACAATTCACCTTGTTGAAACGTTTGCTCTATAGTAACATCCATTACACATGACATTCTGAACATTTCATGTTTTTCCATTCGTAGATCATGTAACGACGTGCCACTACCCCTTATAATGCCGAAACGTCAGTGGTCAAAATTGTCTCACCTAAGTATTTTATTGCGTGAAAACATTTGCGCGCATACAACTGCGCAGGACCTTAGAAGAGTGACGGAAACTTAGAAGGGCAGTAAGTTGAGCCAGTTGGCAAGGATTTGCGATTTTATTGACTGCAACAGTATGCCGCTGTAATCAATGCCACCAATTAGTACGTTATACGTGATATTCGTTATAACAGTATGAATTGAAATGGGATCTAAATATTCAGCAACGTCGCTCACACATGATTCCTAGACAGAAAAAAAAACATTATTCTAGACTTTAGAGTTTCATGACGAAAAACGAGATAATCCTTACCTGTCACCTAATGGCACCTCAAGACTTTGTTCACATTGTAGCGCAAATTAAATAGGCCTTTTTTTTTGCCCTGGATAACCAAAGCTTTCGCAGATTTTTTCAAATGATAAGGAATGTGGTCGGGAATTGCATTTTAGCATTGATTTAGCTATTTATTCTACCGTTTGTATATTGAGTCTTGCTCGAACCAGCAATACATATATATATATATATATATATATATATATATATATATATATCACTGCAGAATTTATAGCAATGGATCAGCCTAGGTGATATGAACCTCAATCTGACATAATATAACATGACATAACTCAACATTACAGAGGCATGAGGAACGAAATTCGTGATCGTTTCGATATAACCGGTTATTCGCTGTACCAGCCTTCGTTATAACGGGGATCAAATGTATGTAGGCTCTATTGAAGGCGGCCCCTTGCGTACAGTGGCCATACGGCGACGCGGCGCTGCACAGAATTAGCAGGGGAACAGAGTTGCTCGCGGGAACGCTCGTTAAGAGTCCTGGCGTTGTGTAGCCGTTGCATTAGCGACGTGGCTTGGCCTGTTTGTCCGGAGGCGTGCGCTGCTGTATACAAGCGTTTCTTTTGTCGCTATGTGCCGCCGCCGTTGGCTTCTGTCTTTACTTTGACAGTTGCAGTGCCCGAGGCGAGTCAACAGCTGTCTGTCCTTCGGGGCTGCTACTACAAGGGGGCTGCCCCGTTCGCTCGTTATTTATACAGGGCGTGACAATTTGATTGTCTTCTTTCCTGCCGTGCGGGGCCCCCGGGCTTGGAGCGGCTGCAGCCTCAAGCGGCGGACGGTGTTCGCGACGACCGCCCTCCTCGACGTCGAGTACAGCACCGTCGTCTCGGTTCCACATGGCTTTCGCCCGATCGAGAGCTCGGAACAGCCTCACGCTCGAATATGCGATGCTCGGCTGTGGACAGAGTGCGACCGAGAGCGCCGGCTGAATCGCGGTGAAAGGTGAGCACGGGAGACGTTCCCGAAGAATCGATGTAAGAATAAGTTGTCGGACATTTACAAGTCAGAGCCGCGACATGTATGATCTTGAGAGACGTCCCAGTGGAGGCCTCCTGAAAATTCGACAGCATGGAGTACTTTAACACGCTACCAAACTTAAGTAAATGGGCCTTAGTATTTCGCATCCATCCTCGAAAATCGGGACAGATGCTGCAAGCCAAATTCAATATTTAGAAGACCAAATTTTTACGGTGATTTTGGTTCGACGTTGGCCGGTCTCCTTTACAAAGAATATGCTCGACATGCAATGTGTCTTTATTGCTGTTGTGAGGTTCTCATAGCGACCACATGTTCACGTGAAGATGACACCCACGCGTTCTAAGGGGGAAAAAAGTCTGTTAAATGTTTGTGTGTGTGCGCGCGTTGGTCGTTAATCCGTACTTGTCTCGTATTATTCTGTTTGAAGATACCCGTTTGGAGATACTCTTTGAGCGAGTGACGTATCCCACGACTCCCCAAGTGAGAGCTAACGCGCATCATTAAAGAAAGTTATACAACAACTAAATCAATAGAGAGTGAGAAAGAAAAGAAAAGAAAAGAAAGAAAGAAAGAAAGAAAGAAAGAAAGAAAGAAAGAAAGAAATGGAAATAAACGGAGGCAAAAGAGACCTACATAAACAGAAAAAAAAGGAAGAGAGGAAAAACGAGAGTGAAAATAGAAGAGAAGCAAAGTAGGCCTCCTATAGATCTTCTCTCTCTCTTTTTTTTTTCAGGCTCGGTAAAACCAAAGCAAGGCTTTAAGTATAATCGCCCACTATCACTCTCAAAAGCGATTTCCCGCGGTTTCGAAACCCTCGTTTCTCCCCTCCGACGTATTCACTTGCGACGGGGTTGTACCGGATATACACATGCACGCGCGGCTGCCAAGTTTCCCGTTCGCGCCTTTTCGTATAGACGCCTTGCGATGCGTTTCCTGCAAGTTTTACACTCATAGTTCCTGCAAGTGGACAAAACCGATACTTCACCGATTCGATTAGACTATAGAGGAGGCACGCTTCGCACTCCCCGTTCTGTTAACACCATCGAGAGTAACTCAATATCTCCCGAGGCGTTGCCGATGCACTCTCCGGGGATGTGTAGTTATAAAAGAGGTCATCGACAACAGCGTTTGAAACCCTTGCTTGTTATATACACATATTTTTCAGAATCGTCGACAGTTATGTCGTGAAGATGGTGGAATGCCGCAGTACGGTCTGCGCGGTTGGCTGCAAACGTCCCTTTGCAAAGTGCCTCGCATAACGGAATGATCATGGGTTCCGCACCGTTACAAAAGGCGGTCCGATCGACAACGGTGAGTTTGACAGGAAGTTTCGTTTCCTTTCTTTTGACTTTGGTTTGTTTTATTTGACTTGATATAGTAGAAGTATAAATGATACGTTACATACGATAAATACAGATACAGAAGGAGGTCTGAAAGCCGCCACACTGAGAGTGAGACCTCCTATGAAATCATACATTATAGATGTAAGCTTGCTCACGATTTCCAGTCCTGCGGCAAACCTTCTCGAAAAGCCACATCCCACCATTGTTTTTTGTTCTCATTGTAGCTGTTGTTGAGTGCGTATTTTTCAGCTCTTCAACTATACTTCCGATTCTAGATTACTTGAATTCAATAATAGCGACTAAGTAGCAATGTTCAAGTCCCACATATGATTGATCTAGACATTTTGGTAATATTTCCGTGTTTTTTTTTTGCGTTTCTCAAACCTGGGTACTTTTTAGTGACGTAAGCAAAGAGCTTTCTCTACTAAGCATTCCCGGACCAGCACTTACTACCAATCTTCAGAATATTCTTTGAAAAAAAAATCTTGTAAAAATCTTGGGAAAAATCTTGTGAAAATTTAGAGTTACACTGCATCTTTTCGTGTTGCTGTTCCTTCTTCCTTTTTGAATGTCAATGTATTTTTTTCTTTAGGAATCATTGCAGTGCTGATTTTGCCTTTGGTTTCTCAATACTGATGTTTAATCAATCACGAGATGGAAGCAAGGAAACGGCTGAATATTCAAGCATATCTCGAGCGAACCTGTGAAGCTAGGTCGCAGTACCGAGAACTCGTCGAATCACGCCCTTGAACGGGGCGCCGGACCAGAACGATTTCATAGTCTTTCCGACCTAACGGAAGAGTATAGCTGTTGCGCACGCCTACGGCCTTGTACACAATGGGTTCCATTGCACAGTAAGCACTTTCTGCACCGAAGTTACGTAAACGTTGCCGCAACCGCGACGTCATCGGGTATCCGCTTTTGGTGACAGGAGACGCGCATCAGCGAAAAGCGACGGAAACTTAGAAGGGCAGTAAGTTGAGCCAGTTGGCAAGGATTTGCGATAAAAAAGAAATGGTAGGCGTCCCAAACAAGGACGTTGATAAGTGTACAAGACGAAAAAAAACGCCGTGTTGTCTTGGTCTCTTCTCTTCTCTGCGAGTCTTTTGAGCAAAATAAGCTTGCGCTTTATTACGGGGATAGTCTTGGGTGCAGTCATGAAACGCGAAAATTAACCACCGGTGGCGGTGGAATTAACACGAGTGATGAAAAAAAGTCATGACAACGTCACAATGGAGCAACGTTACATGCTTACGTCATCGTCGCATGATCAAAGGCAGGCTGATTCCGGAGGCACTCTAAAACCTCCTGAGATGCTTTGCAAATGCCTCCGATGTGAGAGGCAAAGTACAGCTATAGGTTAGGTGTAGAAAATCTTCGGGAAGGGCGTGGGGGAGGGGGGATTAATACAGTAGACTGAGAAAACGAAGAAAAGGATTGATTTTTCCGTCGAGTAGTCTTAGGTAAATGCGTAGGAAACCACGTGAATACTTTTGGGCGCTTTCCCCGAGAAAGTTGTCCTGCATTGCTTATACGAGGCTTGACACGCGCCGGAAATGTTCCGAGTAAAATAGGAGGCAGCTGGGAGCAATTTATTGACATGTAAGCCGCGAAACTTTTCTCACTCATTCGCGTAAACTATACTAGATAGGCTGTATCTCCTTTCGCGCTCGCTAAGCGAAAATGTTCTCACGCCCGTTTCCGGTAAACAACGTAAACATTATAAATCGTTTCGCTGCTGCGTTCGCGTCCATTAAACAATTGAGATACATGTTGAAGAGTACTCCATGCGACATAGAAATCCTGAAGATGAATTCGGACTGCCTGGGAGACCATCTATCGCAAATTGTGTGACGTCGACTGAATAACATATCTGTTGTTGTCGATTCGAAAAAAAAAAAGGATACGTGCATGCAAACTTGCATAAACAATATGAGAAACGTGCCGCTAGGTCCTGTTTCCTTAGATATCCTGTTTTTCATAAGTATTGAACTAACAAGACTCAATATCAGTTACCTCTGAATGAGTTAACACAAATAGATGGCTCGATTTCGATATTGTGCTGAAATAGCGTAGCGATTCTCGATCTCGTCATGTTACGTGCCTTCGCGCTTCACTGGGAGCCTGAGAGTTGTCGCAACCGTTTATTTTCGGGTCAATCAGCTGCGATTGGTGGCTAATATGATAAGACTAAAATCGAGCGACCTCCTTCATGTTCCTCTTCTTGTTCCTCGAAACTTTGCTGCATACTCTGTATTCAAAGCGTCAATGTGCCAGCCTGACTACTCTCACAACGGGCCTCCTGGCCCTATCCTGGGCTTGCTGGACAGCTAGACTTCGGTTGTGATATCCTTACATCTCACCTACCCTGGCTGTATTTTCCGTAAAGCCCTAGATTCATTCCCACTGATATAGGTGGGGTACAGGTAGGGGGTTTTAGTCACGAGCTCTGCCTCCAACCTCGGTGATGAGCTAAGACTGGTCGCGAGGGTAGGACGCTGCCCGAGGTCAAGGTGTCCTGGACTAAAGGTGCGACCCCTTTAGCTACTTTTATTTCCTCTCTTCACTGTTGCAGGTGCCTACGAAGACCGTTCGCAAGAAGAACACGTTACTCGTGATAATTGGTACAGTGGGAGTGGCGTCGCTTTTCTTCTTCTACTCGCGCCAGGATGAATCCTTCTGGCTCAAGCCCGTCATCGTGGCCAAGGAACTGGTGGGAATGGCGCAGCCCGGATACGCCATCTACACCAGTGGCTGCAAGATACCCGCCTTCGACCCGTTCCACTGGACCGTAGCCGGCCTTTACCGCAAGCAAACCCTGTACGTGTGCCCCGGAAAGCCCAGTTTCATACGCCTCGCGGCTAACGTGCCTTCTATAGATGCCAGGGTTCTCTGGGAGCACCACAAGTACAAGCCTAGTGATGTATTGTGCACGTACCAGAAGATAACTCGCGACGAGAACCGCACAGAGCCGGACTCGGCGGTGGTCTACCACCCCAGCTCCAAGATCAACTTCGGAACTCCCCTGTCCAGCGATTTCGTGTTCGTGACGTGTTCCAGTAACGGCGCCAAGTTCCACGAAGAGTTCCTCATGGTGCCCGTGCTGAAGGAACAAGTGGAGCAGCGCTGCAAACTCGCCAAGGACGCGGCTACTCCGCCGCTCAACCGCACGAAAGAACGTCTGAACGTTGTGATCGTTGGCCTCGATTCTGTCTCTCGTCTAAACTCACTTCGCCACCTGAAGAGGACTCGAGAGTTCTTACTGGAACAAATGGAAGCGATCGAACTTTACGGTTACAACAAGGTAGGCGACAATTCCTTTCCCAATCAAGTTCCTTTGTTGACAGGAAGGTCGGGTGAAGAAGCCATGTCACTGTGCCCTGAGAAGTTTTTCGACAATCTTGAGTTCATCTGGGATAAGTACGCCTCTCTCGGCTACAGGACCCTGTTTCTCGAAGAAAGTCCCAAGTACGGGCTGTTCAATTACCTCCTCAAAGGGTTCAAGGACATTCCGACCGACTACTATTGCCGTCCCATGATCTTCGCGATCGACAACTCCAGGTTCAAGAAGTTTATCGGCGGCGGCAAAGGCTGCGTGGGATCGACCGTCCAGACTAACATGTACCTCGACTACACCACGTCACTCGTCTCTTTTCTCGGCAACCGCAGCTATTTCACTTACACTTGGATATCCGACGTGACTCACGACAACTTCAACTCCGCCGGGTTTGCGGACGAGCCTTTCCTGCGAGCCTTCCAGCGGCTGAACGCCAGCGGCGTCATGGACAAGTCCATCGTGGTGTTCCTCAGCGACCACGGCATGCGATACGGACCCATCCGGCAGACGCTAATCGGCAAATATGAGGACCGTATGCCCTTCGTGTTCCTGATGCTTCCGCGAGAGTTTCGCCGCAAGTATCCCCAGGTCGTCAAGAACCTCAAGATCAACCAGCGGCGTCTCACCACTCATTACGACCTGCACGCCATGCTCCTGGAACTTGCCGACTTCCCCAACGACTTCCCGTCCTTCAAGACTCAGCACGGCACCAGCCTGTTGAGGGAGGTTCCGGAAAACCGGACTTGCAGAGATGCCTCGATCGCGCCGCACTGGTGCTGCTGTCACGACAGCGGAGAGTTCCCCGTGACAGACCCGCTGTCCAAAAAGATGGCCAACTTTGTCCTGGAGACCGTCAACGGCTGGCTGCATCAGGGTGCGCCGGGAAAGTGCGTGCGCCTTCAACTCCGCAGTGTAGTTGACGTGTACGAGGTGACCGTCGACGCCAACAGTGACACGCGCTACTTCTGGGTGACGCTAAAGTGTTTCCCCGGTGAGGGACTCCTCGAAGCGACCGTGGCCGTTAACGGAACGGGAGCTCTCGCCACGGAGCGCGTCAGTCGTTTGAACTGGCACGGCGGCCAATCGTCGTGCGTCAAGAACCACCTGCTCGAACTTTACTGTTTTTGCAAGCACCAATAGTGGGCGAGCTTCTCACGTGTGTACGAGACGCCCCAGTGTTTGCCGGTGATTACGTGGTCGAGCGTTCCCAACTTCTAGATGCATCCATTTTTATACGTTGGTGAGTCACAACGGGCCTTTGAATGACGCTTTTGTACACAATGGCAGGGTAATGGGCTCTGTTTCCTTTGCGCCAGATAAGACTAACGTAGTGAGTTGAGTTTATAAGAATGTTACGCGCAGTGCAAACCTATCGATGCATCCGATATCGGGGCATATATAGTTTTATTTGCTAAGACCTAGTCAAGACAGATATTTAAATATGTTTTGTTCTAATTAACTCGAAGATTACTGTCGAGATGCGTATACCACAGGTGGCACGTATTTACAGCGCGGGTTGTAATATTGAAATGGTTTGTAAGGGGAAGTGGTCGTAAATAGTGATAGCGAATATAGTACACCAGCGTGAGCAGATGACCAATGACAGATAGCTCTTACTAGCGAAGAGCTCGGCTAACTTGAGCTGAGTTAGATTTTTTTACGCTGTTGTGACGAGGTCGACCAAACAAACACATTAGACGAGCTCTCGTTCTTGACAGTGCGGAGGCGCGTAAACCACTGATGTAGTATCCTTTATTTAAATCAAACGCACGTCTATGCAGACCGCATCTTGTCCTTCAAGAAGTCTTAGCAGCGCACGCCTTTTTTGTGGGTTAAATTTCAAGTATGTTAGAGTCAGGCAGTAAAAGTAATGAGGGATGCTTTCATGGCTTGATCGATTCTATAGAGCTATGCAATGATACCAAAGATTAATTAACAGCCTGCATATATTTAAAGAAGCCGGGTATAGCCAGAACTGGGACGACTGCAAGGTTACGCTTGTTTGATATTCCTGTATTCACTCACTTTTTTTGTTCTTGCTCTATAAAGCAAGAGATAGCTTCGAACAGCTTGCTCTATAACTTCACAAGGCTTGCACGTTGAACGATTCAGGCTCACTGTATACGATGAGTGGAGCATTTTCTGTGATACCTTCCGCCCATGAATACGAGAAGGCTACGCTCATGCAAAATGACAACAGTATACGTATGTACTTGATATCCAAAGCTAAGATAACGTTGGGGGCTTTCTTTCAGCACAGCTTTTGGGTGCAAAAAAAAAAACTTTAGTGTCGATTATAGCACGAAGAGAGGATAGAGAAAGGTTGGGGCTTAATGCTGGTTTGGTTTCTAAGGGCAGGGGCATAGCAAGAAATGTTTTTCTGAGCGCGGGGGGGAGGGAGGGGGCTTATAAATGTTTGTGAGTGTGTTTGTACGTGGCGTGTATATATATGCAAGCGAAATTGAAAAACATTGGTGGGGTTGCACCCCCCCCCCCATTTCTTGGCTACGCCCATGTTTAAAAGGGTCATGAACCACCTTTCGGCCTGAAAAAAAAAAAACAAATCATGCAGGCCAACTGATGTGATCACCTCACAACTAAACATTGCGGTCACACTTCTTAAAGTAACTATGGAATACATTCACTAAAAGAGCTTATTACCTCTTGAATTCAACACCGCTAATATTTTAAGAGTTCGTCCAGTAAAAGCGGAGTTGAAAAGATTTGTCTCCCTCTGCAGTCGCATTCTCTATTATCTCGTCCCGACGATCGCGCTCGAAGCTAAGCAGGGAGGGATGGCAGGGGCAAAGAAAATGCGTCACGCGTGCCTCGTGACCTTGAGCACTTTGCTTTCCTTTTTTTTAATTCGAATACGAGGCTTTTTCAGTAGGATCGCCCGCGCACGCGTGTACAAGTCACGGCCTCCCGCGGTCATCCCTATAACGACAGAGCGCGCCATGTTGAAATCAGTAAATGGCTGATAGAAGGCTTTCTACGGGTGATTTTTTGGTTTCCTCCGTCATTTGTCGAGAGAAGAGAAAGAAGTTTTTAGCTGACGTTGATAATTTATTGTGAATTCCAGGCCGCGTGCTGCACTACAATACTTGGCTCGCGTGTTCTCGGGAGCCTGCACTACCGACTGGTAGCGTTTTCTGTCCATGCTCGAAAAGTGTTGCAGGGCCCCTTCAAGCATCTTCAAGAGAACCGCGAAGATGCCATTGGGTTCAGGTGCCTTTTTTTTTCCAACAGAGACGTGTGTTCACTCTTATCGGAGCAGACGCGTGGCCTGTTGTCTGATGTCGAACATCAGATAGCGTGTTATTGGCCAATAGCAAGCATAAATCAAGAGCGAAGTTTGCAATTCAGATGCGCTTTTTGCTACGTGCCGGCGCCGAGCTCCTGAGTTTGCTAACGTTACACAGTGACCCACAGTCACGCTCAGGAATCGATGGGAGAGAGCGATCGCGTTTCATCACGCGTACTCAAGGTCACGACGCATGCCGAACTTCTTTCCCTGGTGCCATTTCTCGCTGTGTAAGCTTCCGCACGCACGTCGTGAAGAGAGAAGAGAAAAAAAAATCTCAAAAGGGCGCCGGGGCACAATTTGAGCATGCATTTTTCATCGGTTCTTCTGGAGCCTGTGGAATGCGCCGATATCGTAGTGCAAGTGGCAACGCCGAAATTGACGCCGACGTAATTTTTATTTCGCAGGACAAACTACCTTTGTTTCAGATTACGGCGGAAAATTTCGTCTAATTTTTGTTATAGGAAGTGACATCTTGCCATGTGGTGTGACGACAAAGACCACTTGCTTTTGATTGGCTTGACGCGACAAGTATCGTGTAATATTCATATGGTGGTAGCTAGGCCACGCGAGGGATTGTTAAAAACAGCAAGAGCCCTTTTCATGCTTTCTCAAAGAGAAATCATTCTTGTTTCTAAATTATGTGTTTTCAGAACAATGAGCGCGACACTTAGTCGGGGAACGAGGCTATGGCATGCCAGCAACTAAAGGTGGAAACGCATGCCGCGTTTTTAGCGAGCCAAAAATGGTGGACGCTGGTGTTGCCATAGAACGCGTCTTGCATGCAAGCCGAGAAGTGACCCCGCTAAAAGCGCATGTGTATCTTACACAGTGTGACAATATCTTCTACCCGATGCACGCGGTTCTTCGTGATTATGCCAACAACGTCATCCAAAAGAGCAGTATGCGAAGTAATGCGTGTAGACCACTATGAGGTGACATTTATGTTCGTATGAGACGCGCGCTGTGATTAGAAGCGGTATTTGACGTCAGAAGACCAGTGAAATGCAAAGAAAAAAAAAACGTTTGTCGTCGCCGTCTGCTTGACTTTCGAACTCCGAGGACTCATACCTTCACTTTTCGTGCGCCATTTTTCATCGTTATTGTTGCATTCCCCTCCGCAGTCGTCCCTACGCGTGTTCCGGTGCTAAATAAGGCTGTCGCTAAAGTGTGGCAGGGCCCCTTAAAACGCGTGACATACCCCTGCAACTCCGCTCATTCTTGACAGATAAGAAACTTTTTTTGAGGCTCCACTGCTGAGGCTATTTAATGATTACTTAGAAAAGTGGTTCATGACTCCTTTATATAAGGACGTGGTCATTGGTACGAAATACCTAGTCATGCAAATAGACGAGGATGGCTTTCTGACGGCGATATGTGTGCGACGAATGCTGGAAACTTGTATGTTGTCTTAAGGTGAGCAATCTGCATGAAAAAAATGGCTTTACTGTGTGGTGTGCTGTGAAATGTGGGCGGCGCTGCAACTGCGGTGGATTATGGACGCTGTACAGTGATGAAAGACGCTTTTATGGACTGAGTACATCGTGGCGCTGCAAGGAGTGCTTTATTGAACGGACAATAGTGTTTCCGTGATACCAAGACACCGATTCACTGACTGTGGTTTCAAGGTGCTTCAACTCTTTTAACTCATACCCGGATACCCTGTTCTCCTTTGTTAGCGAATAGCGCATCTATATAAGGAATACTTCCCAAAGAAAGGGAGTCATGGTATGACGGACAGCGGTAGCACAAAGGATGTCTATCAAGCCATCGTTTCAATAATGAAATTATGATTTGGGCCCTTATAGCAAAAAACTAAAAGAACAGTAGCTTAGCCGTAGCCTTGCTTTAAGGTCAGAAACGACTTACGTCGTGATAATTGTTCGTAAGAAAATAAATAAGCCAATCCGTGGACTGGACCTATTGTAAGCGAAGACGGATCGGTAACTGGTCGTTGCGAAAAGAAACTTAAGAATGAAACGCTTTCTTTCGGCCTTTGAGGCATTCCTTGTTCATTAATAACAAATTAGTTTACCTCTTTATAACTTCAAGGTGGCGCGCTTGGGCGATTTACTATATGTTACTCATGAAAAATAAACGAATGAAATGAAGCAGATGACATTAGTAGTTTCCCAAAAGGGTGCAATTTTCAGAAATATATTTATTGTCACGCATCGGCGACACCATGTATTACTTCTGAAGCATGTGATGCTCTTGCTTGCACAAATCAGCTTTTGCGCCATCTACCTTGAAGGCCAGCTTTATTGTCAAGCGCTACCTAGCCAAGCTTATATCGGATACAATGCTTAATTCGTTGAATGTACAGGGACAAAACCATGATTTACCGTATATCCCATCCAAGTTCAACGCACCCTTCATATGCACCTATTTACTCGTCGAGTGCTGCCTGGACTGCACGTGGCAATGTTTTTTTTTTTTCTGCACGTACTTAGAGTATTCGATCATTCCAGCGACTACAGGCGGCGCAGCGGTAGGTCGAAATGGCGGACGAGACGGTGATGTCGCGAGCGTTTACGTCAGCGTCGCAGAGCGTGAAGACGCGTTCATTGGTTCATGACTACTGAGAGACCGAACTGCGTCACAGTTTTATCACCATGTGACAGCTTCGGAGCACGGCTACATGGCACCGCCTGCGTCGCTGGAAATGACTGAATTGCATGATGCAAATGAAAGTGTTAAACAGGAAACGTGTTACACGGAATATAATTTCTGCAATCATTATCGCGAGAAGCACGTGACGTTTGTTACGTCACCTTCAGGCAGGAACCCTATATTCAGATTGCTCTTAAACTGACTTTCAGGGTCAATCTGTTTTCACTCTGCGTGGGTTGTGATTTCAAGGCACCTGATGATGCTGACGAAACAAAAAAAAAATAATAAAGCCGCCAAACGTTTGGTGCTCCTTCGTTTTGTCTCTCGATCACATCGTGTAAAATCGGTGTCAGATGATCCACTGCTGATCGTGATTGACGTTGATCGGGATTGAATTTGTGAACGGTGATTGGTTCCTTTCTGAAGCTTGCGTAAAGGAGCCAATCACGATCCTGGAAATTTGATCCATATTCGTCCCCATCCCGATTGAGATAAGGCTAATCCGAATGATTTGATTCGCATCAGACTTGTATAATATACGGTGCGTGTGATACAAGAACATTTGTCAAAGAAGGAGAATTTTAAGGGCTTGATTTTCTTTCACAAATCATTTAAAACTAACATACAAGAAAGCCAAGGAAAGTATAGGGGATGTTATTTGTAGTATATTCAATGTAGATGTGAAAAAGAAAAGTGGACGAAAATATATCCTGCCATCGACAGGAACCGAACCTACGATCTTCGAATAAGGCATGCGATGCTGTATAAACTGAACTGCGCCTTTCATCTTGCCGTGCATGTTATGGGGCATGTATGTTCATTTAAGCCTGGGAGTGTTAGTCAGCCATAACAACAAGTGTGGAACACTTTTTTTTTTTTGCCCGCTGGCGTCCGGAGCACCTGATCTCATTACGAGCTGGCAGCTGACCAATAATCCCTCGGATACTGCCTGAATAAACCAAGTCTGCCAGAACGAGACCTTTGCTACGAATGAATGAAAGAAAGGGAATTGTAAGGGCTTGTTTTTTTTTGTTCAATACAACATTAATTACCACAGACAAGAAAACCAAGGAAATCATAGGGGATGTTATTTCTGACAGCTTTAACTGGCTTTCTTGTGTGTTAGTTCTAAATACGACTATTTGTCGTTCGTTCAAGAAAATAGAGTAAAAAAACGAAAAGAAAGCACGAGTAGACAAGAATGCAATAGCACAAGACACTTTATACTTCGGTTGTACGCGTGCAGATAGATCAATGTGCTCCAGAAGCACGTGACACTGTTTCGGCCTTGCCTGTAAGTATGAGTTATGTATCCGCGAGGTGAAGGGTCAGATGTAAAAACTCTGTCATTGTCATCAGAAACACGGCTTAATTGCCTATTCCTTTTTTTTTTGCAGCGGGAGACAACAGGTCTAACGCACCCCGGATGCACAGCATGGCTTAGATAGGAGACTCGTTGCGAAAGCCGGTAGATATCGGTCGTTACCGTTCGATATCTGTTGACGCTGGCCGCGGCGCATATACACATCATTCTTATTTTGCTCTTTCTCTATAACTATGCTTTGGTTTTCCGTACTACGGCGTGAAAGACCTTTTGCTAACTGGAAACCAGTGGTGTAGCCAGGGGTGAAATACCAAACCCGCGCCCCCCGATTTATTAATTTTTTTTGCCATGACATGCAGGGCGAAAAATGACCATTTCAAACAGGTGTGCCCCTCCCCCCCCCCTGAAATTAAGAAGTTCAGCATCATCAACATCATCATCAGCCTGACTACGTCCACTGCAGGACAGAGGCCTCTCTTATGTTCCGCCAG